TCGGTTGGAAATAACTTTTGAGTTTAGGATGTGGGCAAGTATCCACTTCTTTTTTCAGCTCTAGGACCCCATCCGGTGCAGACCCATGCATGCTGCCTCAGTGTCTGTGAGTTCATCTGTCACTGAACACTGTTGTGTCTAGAAAACCTTGGTTCCTTGGTGTCCACCATCCCTCTGGCTCTTAGATTCTTTCCACCTCCTCTTTCACTGGGAATGAGACCTGAGGGGAGGGATTTGATGGAGACAACCCATTTAGAGTTGAGTGTTCCAAGGTCTCTCACTCTCTGCACATGGTCTGTGGGTCTCTGTATTTGTTCCCACCCTTTGTGTAGTTAATAAAAAAAAATCTTTTCCCATTCTGTAGCTTCCTTTGTCCTAATAATGGTGTCCTTTGCCATACAGAAACTTTTCAGTTTCATGAGGTCCCATTTATTAATTGTTGTTCTTAGTTCCTGTGCTAACCCTGTTCTGTTCAAAAAGTATTTTCCAATGGATTCAAGACGATTTCATAATTTGTCTTCTATCAAGTCAGTGTATCTGTTTTTGTGTTGCAGACTTTGATTCATTTGGAATAGAGTTTTGTGCAAGGTGACAAATAGGGACCCATGTGCATTCTTCTGTATGCAGCCATCCAGCTTGACCAGCACCATTTGTTGAATATAATGACTTTTTTTTTTCAGTGTGTATTTCTGACTTTTTTTTATCAGAAATCATGTATCCATGGGTGTATAGACTCATGTATGGGTGTACAATTCTATTCCATTGATCAACATGTCTGTTTTTGTGCCAATGCTATGCTGTTTTTAGTATTATTGCTCTGTAGTATAATTTGATAGCCATGATAATGATACCTCCAGCAGCTCTTTTATCATTCAGGAATATTTTAACTATCCTGTATTTTTTATGTTTCCATATAAAGCTGAAATAGTCCTTCCAAGTTCTATGAAGAATTGTGTCGGAATTTTGATGGGGAATTCATTGGATCTGTAGATTGCTTTTGGTAGGATGGCCATTTTACTATATTAATCCTTCTCATCCATGAGCATGGGAGATCTTTCTATCTTCTGATATCTTCTTCATATTTTCTCTTCAGTGTCTTAAAGTTTTTACCATACAAATCTTCTACTTACTTGATTAGAGTTACCCTAAGATATTTTTTTATTATTTGAGCCTATTGTGAAAGGTGTTGTATCACTAATTTCTTTCTCCGTCTCTAATTTGTATATAGGAAGACTACCAATTTTTATGTGTTAAATATGTATCCAGCTACTTTGCTGAAAGTGTTTATTAGCTGTAGGAGTTTGGGATGAAATGTTATATGTTATCAGCTGTAGGAGTTTCCTGGAATTTTTAGGGTCACTTATATATACTATCTTATTATTTGCAAATAAAGATACTTTGACTTCTTTCTTTCCCATCTGTATCCCCTTGATCTCCTTTGGTTGTCTTATTGTTCTAGCTAGGACTTCAAATTCTTTATTGAATAGGTATGAAGAAAGTGGGCAACCTTGTCTTGTTCCTGATTTTAGATTAATTGCTTTGAGTTTCTCTCCATTTAACTTGATGTTGGCCTTGAGCTTGCTGTAATTCACCTTTTATTATGTATGTCCCTTGTATCCCTAGTCTCTCCAGGACTTTTATCATTAAGGAAGAATAAATTTAAACCTGTAAATTTCTTTTTAGACAGAGGCCTTTTCTAACCTCGTTGATGGTTTCTGGACTCAGATGATGCCTGTTGTTTTTCTTTCCCTTTCTTTCTCCCTTTGAGACAGGGTCTCGTATAGTTCAGCCTCACTTGGAACTCACTACGTAGCAAAGGTTACTTGAACTTTTGATTCCCTTGCCTCCACCTCCTGAGTGCTGGTATTATAGACAGGCAACACTCACCTAGGTTTTTTTTGTGTATATGTGTGGTTTGGGGGTTTCAAATTCTGAGCTTTGTGCATGTTAAACATGCCTACTCTACAAATAATTGTAGCACGAATCTTAAAGAGTCTTATTAATAAAATCAAATCTGAGGCCAGTTATTGGGGTGAATGCTGGAAGATCAGAGAAGCAGAACAAGCCACAGCTTCCTCACCTCCACAGTTCCTCAGCTGATCCTGTTTCCTCAGACTGGAAGCTTCTATGTCCTCATCCCAATGGGTCTCAGCTGAACTGTGCTGCTCGAAAGCCTGAAGCTTAACCAGCTAAAAGCTTCTAGTTTCTTGTCCTCATGCCTTATATACTGTTCTGCTTTCTACAATCACTCCCTGGGATTAAAAGCTTGCTTTCTGGGATTAAAGGCGTGATGTCACCATGCTTGGCTGTATCCTTAAACACACATAGATCCAGAGGGATTTCTGCCTCTGGAATGCTAGGATTAAAGGCGTGTGCTACCACTGCATATCCTATATGTTTAATAGTGTGACCCCAGATAAGTTTATTAGGGTACACAATATTTTGGGGAACACAATACCACCACAAATAATGCCTACTTTTTACATTCAGTAGTTTGTGCTTCTTTATCTACCTCATCATCAAGTGGCCTATTTCTGTGGCCTAATAAGGTGCAATCCCTACCTGATGGATGTATTTAACTTACGCATATAGAAAATGTGATGAAACACAGCATAGCACTGCAAACAGGATAACCTTAAGTCTAATTTCTTTTAGTATTAAAAAAGAAAACGACTTTCAAAATTGTAGTTTATCTTTTATAGTAAACTGAAAGTATCATGGTATAATCTTGAGACTGACAGAGTCACTGAATGTTGATTTATCCTCTGCCTTGGTGTAGGATGCTGCAAAAGGTAAAAGCTTATGTGGACCCCAGGAGGGAAAGGAAGGCATTGTTGTTTGAATGTGAAATGTTTCCCTTAGGCTCATGGTATCTGGGTAGGCAGTGGAGCCTTTAAGAGGTGAGACCTAGCTGAGAGAAGTCAATGGAGACATACCTTCAAGTTATAGTCCAGCTTTGCTTTGGGTCCTGACTCAGGCAACATGTCTGTAGCCGAAATGTGACCACTTCATGTTGCCCTGCCACAGTCATGTCTTCTGTGCCACTGTGGACTGGACCCATGAACAAATAAAGCTTTACTCCTCTAAGGTAGTCCTCTCAGATACTGGGTCACAGTGATGAAAATGGTAACTAATGCAAAAGGGGGATGATGGAAGCGGGAGACAGAGGCAGAGAGCACGCTGGTCTCCACTAGCAATGGCTGTATTTGCTCCTTCATGGAAAATGAGGAACTCAGTAATCATGTAGATCCATTTACTGCTCTTCCATTCCCCTAATTACCATAGTAACTGCATCCAAATGCATCTTAAGCCTTGTAAGACAATGTGACTATTTTTGCTTTGTAGAAATTAAGACTAAAAGCCTCTTATGTGTGTATGTAGATAGTTACCATTTATGATGCTATGATCCCTTCCTGTGGGTTTAAGTTTCCATCTGATATGACTCCTCATTAGCCTGAAGGGCTCATGGTACATCTTACAGAGCAGCAGAGCTGGTGACTAATTCTTTGTTTTATCAGAAATATCTTCAGTTCTTCATTCTTGAAGGAGATTTTCACTGGATTTAGGACTCTTGGTTGACAGGAATGTTTTTGCAGCTCTTAAAAGATGCCATACAACTGTCTCCTGGATTACCCATTGCTTACTTTTTTAGTTAAAAAACTGTGGCCCTTAAATCTGTGGTGTGTGTGTGTGTGTGTGTGTGTGTGTGTGTGTGTGTGTGTGTGTGTGTGTGTGTTCTTAGCTTATATGGTGCTTGATACACTTCTTTAATCAGTAAATTTGTTTCACTAAATTTTGGGGATTTTCGACAGTTCTTTCAAGCCTATTCTACTTCATTTCACTACATCCCCTTTGGTAATACAATAGACCTCTGATACTGGCCACGTGTCCCTAAATCTGAATCTTCATTTGCTGTTCAAATATTTGTCTTTCTTCTACAGATTGGATAATTATTGTTTATATGTTTACTAATTCACTATTTTTTTTAAAGATAGTGTTTCACTTTGTAGCCCAAGTTGGCCTTGAACTTAGGATCCAACTGCCTCAGCTTCTCAAGTCCTAGAGTTATGAGTGTGCACCATCATGCCCAGATAGTTAATTCAGTATTTTTTCCTACATCATCTCTCCATTTTTCTGTTAAATACATACGGCAGAACTTGTTTGGGGTTTTGCGGATTTCTTTTTCAATGTTTAGATAGGTTTTATAGTTTTAGAATTTCCATTTTTATAATTTTTCTTTTGTTCGTTTTTATTATTTGAGAAGGGAAAGGGGGAGGGTGTCACACATGTAGATGTCAAAGGACACCTTTCAGGAGTCAGTTCTCTCCTTCTACAGTGGGGTTCAGGGACTGAACTTGGATCATCAGGCTGCATGCCAGACACTTTAACCCACTGAGCCATCTGGCTAGTCTTAGAATTTCCTGTCATAAGAGTTTCTGTTTCTTTGCTGAAATTTTTAATTTTTTTAATTGGTTACAAGTATATTTCCTTTATGTCTTTGAACCATAGATAAGGAGCTACTTTGAAGTCAGATTGTTCTGACATCTGGGCCATTCAGAGGGGATCACATTTGTACAAGCATGTTCTAGCAACATTGCATCTATACTTGTTTAGAGTGTAGATACTTTCCCGGAGCAACCAACTTACTTGATCAGATGTACAGTAGTAGATGTAGGTGGTAGTTCAGGACTTCACCTACTCCTGTCTGTGGTCCTTCATTTATACACTAAACTAGTTCTCCAGAGGTAATTAATCTACTTCATAGGACCCAGAAGGTTGGTTTCATATATTATGTGGCAGATCCTGGTATTTGGAAGATATACAGTCATCTGATTATAGTATTTTTCTTTTTAACCTCAGATTGTATTAAAAACACTCCTCCTCTACTTTATATCTGGGAGTTTTTTGGACACATTATGTTTTACAATATCAGTAACTATAAATAACCTTATTTTTCAACCCAATATTACATCTAAGATGCTTTTTTGTTTGTCTCTTAGGAAAAAATGCTGCAAAGGATATAAATTTGTTCTTGGACAGTGTATTCCAGAAGGTATGTAATTAAATAGATGATTTCATCTCCCCTTTTTGTGACTAATCACTAGGGTCTACAAAGTTTGGATGCACATAGAGTGAGTGTTAGCTATAAATACATTATGTATGTCTAGTTATGGATATAATCATAATTTTCTTTTTCAATGATTGGATTCTATGTGGTGTGCTCTGTGTGAACCGCCAACATGCTTAGAGTTTGGATCCATGCTTAGCAAACTGTAGTCTCTTCTCTGGCATCACATACACTAGCTGTAACATGATCCTCTTACTGAACTCTCTACCTGCTCTCCAGTATGAAGCTTCATGCCTCTTTAGAGGAGAGGACTCTAGCAATGCTAACCAAATACACAGCCCAGCCCTAAAATTAGAAAGGTTTCAGGCATGAACTGGTTCTCTGGGCTCGTGATTCAGAGTAAAGAGACAGCAGGCAGATCACTTTGAACAAGATGAACAGATTTTAATTATGTTTTAATGTGCTATTAATAGGATCTTGGGCAAATTACATTTTAAGCCTTTGTTTTTACAGGGAGGTTTTGGTCCCAAGTCATACACATGTTTAAAGAATTTTGCCATATATAAAGTACTTGAGCCGGGGGCTGATTCTTGTATTACTTATTACTGAGTCCTGTAGTCCTTGGTGAATAGTGACTACTGCTGTAGTTATTGATAACTTCCGTAGGCACAGCAGACGTTTAGTGCAGAGACATTCACAGGGGACACAACACAAAGCATCAGTAGACAGAGGCAGGTTCAGGAAAGGACTTGAGCCAGGTCATCATCAAGAAGGCTGCCCAGGGATTAGGTAGGAGAGGAAAATATTCCATGCTGCAAAATATTCCAAGCAAGGTGTTGTCGTGGAAGACTGTCTGAAGAGCAATGGGTTAGTTTGCTTGGGCTGGATTGGGGACAGGGAATGGGGTATGCAAAATAGATCTCTTCACTTTTGCCCTAGAAGCTGTGTCTCTCTAGTGGCCTGGGATCCCTGGCAAGCTAATTCTGTTGCATTATCTTATGGAGCAAAATGTCTCCACTGTCTTGAATTAGATGCCTCCCTCCTGTTTACTGCCATCTTCTACAGAAGATGAAAGAAATTGCTAAACCATAGGTGGAACCATGGGAACCATAGGCTCTTAGGAGATAGATTCACACATGGTTTTCCATGTGCCTTTGGGTCTCTCTGAACTGAGGAGCTCTGTGCTGGTTGATTCTGTGGGTGAGAACCAGGCTGGGGGAAAAATCATGTAAGTTAGAAGAGTTCCATCACACCTCTGATCTTCTCAGTTACCAACTGTATCACTTACATCACAGCTTGGCAAATAGCAAAGAAAATTAGGTTTAGGCCTTATAAACTTCAGATCCTAAGTAAAGATTTTGTTCAACCTGATTAAAACCATATGGATACTAGGTGGCATTTCTCTTAATGTTAGGTATTAAAATCTCAAATGCCTTGGCCAAAATCTAGCCTCCCTCACCTTGAAGACAGCAGCAGCTATGAGTAGTACAAAGAACAGCATATTGCCAGGAAAGCAGGCCCAAACATTGTTGTATAGAACTAAGTCTTTGCTCTGTTGTTTTCCATCTGAATCGTGTTTAATGTTTATTTGTTTTGATCTAAGGGAATGGAACGGTGGTTGTATTCGATATTAATGATATCTTTAGCAAAGAGGTTTCAATCACTCAAGAATGAAAAATAAGGCCAGGGCTGATGGAATAGCCCATTATCCTAGCACTCGGGAGACAGGCAGGAGGATCAAGGGTTTAAGGTCAAGGGGCTGGAGAGATGGCTCAGAGGTTAAACATGTGGACTGTTTCTTCAGGGGATTGGGGGTTTTGTTCCTAGTGGCCACATCAAACAGCTCAGAACCACCTGTAATGCCAGCCCCAGGGGGTCTATATCGCTTTTTTGGCCCCTGTGGGCACCCAAACTCATATGCACATTCCCCATACAGACACATAGGCAGATACATAATTAGAAAACAAATAAAATTGAGTCTTCTGCTTTAAAAAGAGTTCCAGGAAAACCTGGTCTGCAAGACTGAGTTCCAAGCCAATCTAGACTACAGAGAGAAACTGTGACTCAAAGCGGGATGGAGAGTGGATAAGGATCACAAAGTACACATACAGGACTTCAGAAAAGATTTCACGGAGCTGGTCAGTGTGACATGTGTGCACAGACACACCTACATACAGAAACTGATTGTAACTAAGTTGTGTCCTTTAAGACTGGCTCATAAGAATGTTGAGATGCAAGCCCCAATGTCTAGTGAGAGCCACCAGGTTCATGGGATGGTTCAAATCCAAAGGCAAGTTACTGGCAGCATCCCTCTTCAATCAGATTGGTCAGCCTTCCAAACGTTGGACAAGGCTGACCTTCACTATAGAGTATAGCCTGCTTTTCTCAAAGTTGACAAGTTTAAATGTTAATTTCATCCTCAATAGACACAAAAATGAGCTGGACATGGAGGTCACACCTATAAACCCAGCATTTGGGAATTTGGGGGGGCGGGAGGATTGCCTCAGGGCATCTGGGCTACAGAGTGAATTTCTGGGCTACAGTGTAAGACCCTGTCTCAAAAACAAAACAACCAACACAGAAACATCTTAGAATAAATATTTGACTGGGTTTTTGGATATTGAATTTTCAAGTAACCAGGCCACGATACATGAGACCATGATGCTGTGTAAAAACAGCCTAGCCATTTGCCTGAGGAAGCTGCAAAGGAATGATAAAATTTCTCCTTGATATTCTATAATTTAAACACCATGGTATTAAAATTAACAGTGCTTAAATGCTTTAATATGAAGTTAACACATCTTATGACCCACAACATGAAAGGGAGTAAAGAGAGCTATGTATAGATACTTACAGATATTCACAAGAGAAGAAATGAACACTCAGGACAACCATAGGCCTCATTTCCATTACTGGCCCCCCATGGTCATATCTGCTCTTCACAACTGCCTTTCTCCATCATTCATTCCTATTGCTTTTACCCTAATAAATGCCTCCCCTCCCGACTCATAGTTCTTATTACATGATCAGGTGATCCCTATCCTCATTCCTAATGCATCTAAAATATTGATCCTACCTAAACTGTTGTAGTTTTCTGTTGGCTTTAGTCTTGGGTCATAGTATTCATAACCCTAAGACATAACCAAGGGCCCCTCATATTCCATACACACTGGCTTAGCTTCTGCGGACTAACAAAACAATTTCCACTTAGTGTTTAGAACCAGTTGTCTCTGGGCACGGTGACTTCTTTCTTTGGCTCGGGACACAGGCATGCAGAAGCCAGTGCCCTGGCCAGAGCTCAGTGGAATCACTCCTCTCTTTCCTAGAGGGAGCATGCTCCATTTGGAGCTGAGGCAGCTAGGCTGGCAGCGCGTGAGGCCACAGAAGCAGCAGCCCTAAGAGCACAGAGAGAACGTGCAGGTTGGGCGGACAGGGAGATGCGCAGTAAATGCGGCAGAATGTGGTGTGGGTGCAACGGCCCCTATGCATTGCTAGGCTGAGATTCACCTCTAGGTCCCTCAAATTTCAACAAAGCAGATTATATTCGTGGTGCAGATCAGCCTCATTCAACTCAGGGAGGCTTAATAGAAAAAGACTGACTTCCTTTCATGAAGGGGAAACACTGCCAGCTCGCTGTCTATTGGACACTGACTCACAATGCATACATCCTCCTGGGGGATCTTTCACCACACCAAATATTCGGGGACTGTGGCCCAGCTGAGCTGACTTGCTGACTTCCAGACCACGGACAGCAGAAGGAGATTAAAATTTCTAAGCAAACCTGCTGCTGATAGAAAATGCAGGTGTTAAGCATGTCGCTGCCTCCCATTCATACTCTACAGCCTGTGGGTCCACCTGGCCACCTAACTCTGGAATGAAGTTCTCTTGAAGCACACACAGAGCCATCCTCTTAAGTACTTCCTGTGGCCTCTTTACATGGTCACGGTAAGGTTGAGTGGTCAAAATAGAGGACTGCACACCCAAGGTAAGGTCTGGTCCTTTCCAGAAAGTGCTTTCTGACTCCTATTATAAGTGAGATAAGGGAATGTTTGGTTGGCTCAGCAGGTGTGGGATGAGCATCATCTGGGGAGGGAACCATATTGCTAATCCCAGGGGAATCATCCCCTGACAGGTAGGCAAACAGTAGTAATAACTAGGAACAAGGGCCAGACAGGTAGGGAGAGCTTTTCCTAGTCACTGTCACATTTCCTAGACACTGTCCCTCATGTAGCACTTAAGCCTACCATGAAAACACTGTGGTATGAGTATCAGTAGTCTTGTTACTAGTATTTTACAAGAGAGGAGATAGAAATGTCAAGACCCTGCTTGTAATCCCAGCACCGGAGAGGCTGGGACAGAATTTCGCCCCAGGCTATGGCCAGCTTGGGCTCTACATAGCAAGACACTGTGTTTAAACAACAAAACCCCGAGGATCATACTGAGAATGCTCAAGTTGGGCAGGTGAGGAAAGCGGTTGCTCAATAAAAATGGAAGAACATGTGAGTGACAGAGTAGAGCCTTGTGGGTTTTGATGAGACAAACTAGACCGTGTTGGGGGTCAAGAAAGACTTGGCCTTGACAATGTCGCTCGAAAACTGTCTAGAACAGTGATTCTCAACTTTCCTAATGCTGTGACCCTTTCATACAGTTCCTCATGTTGTGGTGACCCCCAACCATAAAATTTTTTTATTGCTACTTCATAACTGTCATTCAGCTACTGTTATGAATCGTAATGTAAGTAGCTGTTATTTCCGATGGTCTTAGGTGACCCCTGTGAAAGGGTTGTCTGACCACCGAAGGTGGAGAACCACTGCTCTAGGCTATCAGTTGCAGAGCACTGAGGAGAAAGGTGGAGGAGCTGGCTGGACTTTATTGGAGGTGAAAACTTGTGTGGAGGTAAGAGGTGTGTCTACGACACAGTACAAAGAAAGAGAGTTGAGGCTTTGGAAGTCTTGGGACTCATAAACGACTGTGAAGTTTGGGAA